TCAAAGCAGCACTTAGCGAAGTGTCGGTTATATCTGCTGTTCCCTGTCAGACAGCAAAAGCTGAACATGTTCGCGGAGCCCATTTAGCCGTCACGCTAAGTGCAGTTAATATTAGTGCTGGCAGGGCATGGTGGCTCCAGTAAATATTGAGAGGGTTTTATCATGGGTCACCTCCTCCTGCGTTTATTTACTCCTGTATTGTATTACATCAAATCTTACCACGCCGAATTTTTTAGAGATCCCCTCTTCCTGACATGGCTGGATGCCTGGAGATCAGCTTTCAAGTGGCATGGAATATAATTCAAAGGGAATATATACTCCTTTCAATTATTTTTACTTTTATATAGAAAAATGTTGATCCTATGCAAAATTTGTAAGAATGAATGTACATAGGGACTAGCCACATTTGCTCATTGCTTCCTCAGGCTCTTCTTTCTGCTTTACAGCGATGCATGGGGGTTGTGCTTTACAGGTCAAGTCTGTGGGTGAGCCAATTGATTGAAAAACCATGCAATCATTGCCTGGACGATATATTTTCTTAAAGCATATTTCCAATTTTGCAGTCAAATTTAAGTAAACCCCACCAAATGTTTGTTATGTGTTCAAATTCATCATACCTAAAACATTTTACAAATATTTCCTACCATTTGGATGTTTCTCAGGAAGAGGCATCATGGCTGACTGCAAGATTTTTTGAACAATGTTAGAGTGAGCCTGTCCCAAGTCTGTCCTCAGAGCCTGAAGAAGTCCCGGAAGAAGTCCCTGAAATAGGCAGGACGAAACATGTCAGCATGGGCCCCCCTCCCCTCCAGCCCTAGCACGCCATCCCCACACTGTTTGGTGCCTCACTGGACTTTGCTACACTACCCAATTGGACACAGCTGGTGTTCACCTTGTATGGAGGGCAGCTATCTTTGGAGTGACAGCAGGAGCAGGACATGGCTTCATGCACAAGACCCTGGTGGTTCCATTGGATCATGAGTACTGGCGACCCTGTGTTGTTACCTAGTCATATCAGCTGTGCAGGCGATCACAGGTTGGACTGGTCATACACTTTCATGTTGCTGTGATAGTCCTCTCCGTGAAGTTGATATTTACCCGGTAGTGATTGCTCACATGTTACTGGACTTTATGTTGAGGCTCACTCCTGTCATACAGTGATTGCATTGCCTGGCCACTAGCCAGTCCACCGTAGCAGGCTGCTCATGCCATAACTTTTCTACACCTATGACATCAGTGTCCTGTAGAATTTATTGCATATATCTGCTGCTCTTATCGGACCTGGACATATTAGACTTTACAGTACCGCACATTGGATTGGACTTTGAGGCCTTGGCGCCCTACTTCATACCTTATACTCTACTGTTTTGTTCACCACCGGTCATTTGTATATGGTATATGTTTAGCAGCCTGCCTTTTATGGTTGTCTGGTGCCTTCGGTGTGTTGGTGGGTCAGTTATTACATCCAATGGGGTCTGGGGGCTGGTGGTTTTCCTCAGCTCCCTTCTCTCCACCATAGGGAGGGGGGTAGTTTGGTGGATGGGTTTGTTTGGGGGGGGGGGGGGGGGGGTTGTGGGAGGAGCTTTGGGGGACTGGAGGAGTTGTGGGGTATAGGTGGGTGGGCTGGGTTGGCAGAGTGGTGGGGGGTAGTTTTGGATAGTCTTTTTCCATCAGGAAGGCTTACATCCAGTAGACACATATATCATCGACTGTGTCTGACACGGGGGGATCATTCACCTCAGGGGGTCAGGGGCCTCTGTGATTGGGACAGCACCGGATCTCCACTTTTTTTGTACACTGTGCACAGTTATAATAATAAACATATTTTCAGGTAAGCCTTTTAGGTGTGCAGCCTATTTTCTTCTTTCTTTGTTTTTGCTATATGGTTTAGGTAGCACCCTTCCAGAAGTTCTGGTAACACTTCTATATTTCTTGTGGAACATTGTGGACTGCCTAGCTTCCTCATCTTTCCCCTTACCCTTTTTTGCCAAAAACAAACAAGAAAAAAAATCCAGCAGTACTGCCTCCTGAACGCCTGCTTACTGAGTGAACTGCCAATATGAGCCTAGACCAGTATTGGGTTCTAGAGGTTACTGCACATCAGTACTGGTCACCCATTGGTTGCTAGAGGTTACTGCACATTTTTACCAGGCTGTTGATTGGTTGCTAGAGGTTACAGCACATCATTATTGCTCACTGATTGGTTGCTAGAGGTTACTGCACAACATTATTGCTCACTAATTGGTTGCTAGAGATTACTGAACTTCATTACTGCTCATTGTTTGGTTGCTAGAGGTTACTGCACATTATTACTATTGGAGCTGTGGCAGTGGAGATAGGGGGTTTAAGTGGTAATGCTGGAGGTATGGGAATGAGTGACAGTGCTGGTGGGGGATGAGATCAGTGGCAGTACTTGGGGGAATGGGATGAGTGGAAGTGCTTGGGGTGGGTGGGATCAGTGGTAGTGCTGGATGATGATGGGTGGTGACATTTCTACACTGCCCACCAATGTTAGGGGGGATTTCACTGATGACCAATGTAAGGGAGGGTTTACACTGACCACCAATGTAAGGGCAGTTCTGCACTTACCACCAATGTAAAGGGAAATTTACACTGAACATCAATTTAATGGGGAATTTTATACCAACAACTAATACATTTCTATACTGGCCACCAATGTAAGGGGGCATTTCTAGTGCATAGAGACCCGATTGGAATGAATGGGCTGCCCTTTATCTAACCTGTCAAAACACCTTTCCATTCAAAAGTTCCCTGCCACGTCCTCTCACACTGCAGAGCAGAGGAACAGCCACACCCTATCACGCTGCAGAGCAGAGTAACAACCATGCCCTCTCACACTGCAGAGCAGAGGAACAGCCACTCCCTCTCACATTGCAGAGCACAGTAACAGCCACACCCTCTCACACTGCAGAGCACAGTAACAGCCACACCCTCTCACACTGCAGAGCACAGTAACAGCCACACCCTCTCACACTGCAGAGCACAGTAACAGCCACACCCTCTCACACTGCAGAGCACAGTAACAGCCACACCCCTCAGCACAAGTGTCCTCACAGAGACTTGTATTGCAGAAAAAGGGAGGAGCCTGTCGTATCAAGTCTGCGTGAATGACTCAGAGCAGTGGGACTTTTCTGTTACCTGTAGAACTGCACAGTCATATTTAAACAACTATTGCAACAGGAAAACGGTGACAATGAAGGATGTTTATACGTCTGTCTATTTTTTTCATCATTAAATAGAGACAACTGGTGGAACCAGAAAGCGGTGATAAATGGGAAAATGAGTGTCTTTTTTTCATCAAGAAATGTTTATTTGAAAAGAATAAAGGTCTTCGTGATTTTTCTATAGTTTTGTTTTGAAGAAAAAAAGAGAACGTGGAGTACGCGAGAAAAGTTAAAATGGGGTCTTTGATCTGCCTATTACAGAGATATCATGAGAAGACTTCCAGCATAACCTCAGAATACAGCGATTCAGCATATAGAGCAATTACACGAGAAGAACATTACAATTGTGGATGAAGGACACAGACAATAGAAGATTGTATGTATGATCATACCCAGGGGGCAATAGGGGATTGTGGGGCCCCTGTGTCCTTGCCCAAACTCAAAAAAGCCTATGAAAAAGGTACCAGGGGCATCTCATGGGGCCCCCTACTGACCCCAGTGCCCGAGTTTCCAAATGGTCAGTCCGCTCCTGATCACACCATAACCATGGCCTGTGTTCTTGTTATTTTACTGATTATGCTCAGCACTAGTAACAAAAAGTTGGTATTAAAAGATACAAATCAGAAATCTGCCCGGGGGGCTCTAATCTCCATACAGTCTGTGTGGTACAAGCAGGGCTGCTGTTAGGAACCATGGGGCTCCATACAGCCAACCTGACAGACCCCCAAAAAAACCCCACAAAGTTATGAATGAACACAGCGAGTGATCGGTACCGATCACTTGCAGCTGCCAGTGGGAAGGAAAGGAGGAAAACCTGCAGCACCTTGGGGGTGGGGGGGGGCACACAGGGGGGCCTGGGCAGCAGGGGAAACGTATGGTGCACAAGAAGGCTGTTCGGGTGCAGCGGGAGACAATTACTAGAACAGATCCCCTGTATGGCTCTCTGCAACAGCTGAAAGCTAGCAGGAGGGAGAGGAGAAGAATTTAGCATTTAGCTGCTGCAGAAAAGCCATACAGGGGATCAGTTTCATCAATTGCCCACCCGCCGTGTGGACCACCCACCCTTCCTGCCCACATCCGATTCACCCAGCTGCCTGGGCCCCCCTGCTGGCTTGGGCCCTGTACAGGAGGTCTGGTGGTACCCCCTTATCCATAGCCCTGGGTGCAAGACTGGGGTCATTAAGGCCATCCACACCAGATATCCAATTTTTGAGCACTATCTCTGCAGGAATAGATTGCGCTTTGCATGTGTGGGATGGAATTTGTACCATTTCTCTGACTGCATATCAATTTCTATGACTTTTTTGGGGCTTTAAAGTGTTACTAAACCCACAACAGTAAAATCAGTCTGTATATGTAGTAAAGCATGCTTGTTATACTCACTGTGGAACCTAAGGGGTTAATCCTCTGCATTGTGTAAAATGGCCATTTGATCCTGACTTCTCTGCTCCTCCTCTTCTTCAAATGTCCACCTCTTATCTCCTGATAAGACAGACTGAACCCGTAGCCATTCTGCACATGCTCAGTTTAATGTGTATTGCTAGAGATGTTTTTTTTTTCTTGGGAGAGTGCATGTGATCAGCATAGGGCCAATCAGAACTGTCCAGACAGAGGTCAGGGGTTCTGCATCATCCTAGAGCAGAATGAAAACTCCCCCTACAAGCTTTAACCAGTGCTCAGCTGGACACTGATAGAAGTCAAAAGACTGCGTAACTGATGAGAAAAGGTATTTAGCAGTTTATATTTACTAAAATAATTTTCCATGTCGTGTGTACTGTGGGAGACCAGATATAGTGAATGCAGGGTCTGGGGGAGACGAGATATAGTGGGGGAGACGAGATGTAGTGAATGCAGGGTCTGGGGAGACCAGATATAGTGAATGCAGGGTCTGGGGAGACCAGATATAGTAAATGCAGGGTCTGGGGGAGACCAGATATAGTGAATGCAGGGTCCGGGGAGACCAGATATAGTGAATGCAGGGTCCGGGGAGACCAGATATAGTGAATGCAGGGTCTGGGGAGACCAGATATAGAAAATGCAGGGTCTGGGGGAGACCAGATATAGTGAATGCAGGGTCTGGGGGAGACCAGATATAGTGAATGCAGCGTCTGGGGGAGACGAGATATAGTGAATGCAGGGTCCGGGGAGACCAGATATAGCGAATGCAGGGTCCGGGGAGAGCGGATATAGTGAATGCAGGGTCCGGGGAGAGCGGATATAGTGAATGCAGGGTCCTGGGTTTAGTTGCACTTAAGTGTGAATAATGGGCCTAGAATTCTTGCTCACACTCCAACATATGCAGTGATATGTAACATGTGCAGTGCTATTAACAGTTTTGTGCATGGGTACCCCCGACATGTGTGTATGTATATGTACATGGAGGTGGGGTGAACTCCAAATTGTGGGTGGGGTAGGGGGGTTTAAGGTTTTTTCCTTGGGTGTAACTTTTTACCCTTTTTTTTTACATAACTTTACTTTTATAGGGTAGCCTTTTGCTCTTTCTCTTTAATGAGACATCAGGGGTCTATTAGATCGCTGATATCTCACCTGCCCCCCACAGAAGCTAATGTAGCACAGATCTCACTCTATTAGCTTGATCCCTGACCACAGAGGCCATTCAAGCTAGGGGAGGTCAGTGAATAGACATTATTCATCATGGTGGTCACAGGCCTGACAGCGCAGCCCAGAAAACATGGTGAGGGAAGTTGCACCAGGTGGGTAGGTGCACTGCACTACCAGGTGCCCATGGAAGTGATCCGGCAGCTGTACAACCGCTGGATCACTTACACCCAACAGTCAGCTTGCCAGCTTTACATGCACTACATAGGGGAAGCAGTGAAAAAGTGCACCGTGAAAACAAAATGGAACAAAATGTATAAAACATCAAGTATTTCTTCTTGATAAGTGATAATTGATACGTCTTCTCTATAAATGATACATCAAATTGTTCTCATTGTGTTCCTGCAAAATCAGAACAAGTTGATTGACTCTGAAGTTTGTTGAAGGACTATGGTGATCACTTAGCTCCGAACACTGGTGGCATCTAGTGACCAAAAGGTATAATTGCAGGACAGCTCTGGATTGAAGGTGGGCATTGCAGCAAATCTACTTTTTTATTTTTTTTTTAAAATGCTGACCTCTTGTATTTTAAATTAAAAAAATATGGTTCCATTTTAAGTAGGTAGGCTACGTGACTCAAATGCTGATCTTCCCCCAGTGGCAAATCTGCAAATCTCAGCATTTACTATACCAAGTAAATTATGGAAAAACAACCAAGCCTGCAGGAGTCCTCTTTCCAGGTTTCTTTTCCTGTACTACCTTGACCTCTAAAAATTCCTCTTTGCCCTCATTGGGGTTGATATCTAATATAGACAGGCTAGGAAGATTTTAAAAAAATTACATATATCTCATTATTTGGCTCTAGAACCAATAATTGTTCTACAAAACTGCAGTGTGTGTAACAGTCTCCCTTGGCACTACTTAGGTGTTCTGAGTTGGGTACAGAGCTTGCATGCTTCTGGTTAGATAATATAACTGGCACAGCTGCGGCTTACTAATTATTCTTCTAACTTGGTGAGATAGTTTATTTAAATGCTGAGAAATAAATAAACATGTCTGAATCGACTCGGCACTATTTCAAGCCAGACTTTTTTTTTCTCTATTTGCAGGCGACTGCAAATTCTTCTTCTGGAGATCCTGTTCCAAGCCTGGGCGATTTGGGCATACGAAGGATTAATCTATAAGCCAAGATTACTTTCAGTAATGCCAGAGATCCAGAGATGTGGGCAGCTGAAGTTACTGGCAAGTCTTAAAATTTTAGTTAAATTTGCAATGTATGTGGGGGCAACATAAAACATATCCAGTACATCTCTGACATACCTGCACATTTTACCAGAGTTTATCCCTTTAAATTCTTCAAATACAGAATAATACTTTCTTGTATTCTGCCAGAAATCTATTGTGCTCCTAACATGTTGTTTGAGCTGATGACCAGGACCGTGGAGGAGGGAGTGCCACCAGTCTTCCTGTACGGGGCCCAGGCCAGCAGAGGGGCCCAGGATGCCTGGGTGAATTGAATGTGGGCAGGAAGGGTGATTGGCGCTGGAGGGGTGTCAATTATTGGAACTGATCCCCTGTATGGCTCTCTCTGCAGCAGCTGAAGGCTGGCTTCTTCCCCCCCCCCCCCCCCCCACTGGCTTTCAGCTGCTGTACAAAGAGCCATATAGGGGTACAGTTCCAATAATTGCCCCCCTGCTGCACCCATCAACCTCCTTGCACACCATAAATCCCCCCCCCACTACCCAGGCCCCCCTGTGGAGTCCCACCCCTGCGGTGTTGCTGGCTTCCCTGCTCTCTTTCCCTTCTGCAAACACACAATAGAATCCTTCACAATGGAGAGTGGGGGAAGGGTCTGGTAAATATGTCACATTTACCAGTCCCTTCCTTTCCTGAATGAACATAAGGAATGATTGGTGCCTATCACTCAGTGTGTTTATTCATAATTTCATGGGCAACACAGTTGGTTAGGGTCGTTGGTTCAAATCCCAACCACAACACCACCTGCCTGGAGTTTGCATGTTCTCGCTGTGCCTGCGTGGGTTTCCTCCCACACTCCAAAGAAATGTTGGTAGGTTAATTGGCTCCTGTCTAAATTGGCCCTAGTATGTGTATGTATGAATGTGAGTTAGGGACCTTAGATTGTACACCCCTTGAGGGTTAGGGACTGATGTGAAATATGTATGTAAAGCGCTGCATAAATTGACAGCGCTATACAAGTACCTGAAATAAATAATTTAAGCTTAGAAACTGTGTTTTTTTTCAGGTGCAGCGGGTGTTTTCAGGTTGGCTGTATGGAGCCCTGTTGATTCTAACAGCATCTGTGGGCACAATGCTAGCATAGGGGAAAAGACACAATGGGGAGAGCTACAAGGTTCAGGTTTGGCTACTGACCCAACAATACAACAAACAAGAGATCCATGTGCTCAAATCCCTATGCTAGCATTGTGTCCACAGTAGCATTTGCGTATGCAGGGCAGAGTAGGACTGGCCATAGAGGGATTACTTTGACGCAGTTGGCCAGCTTAAGCATGTATTGCAATATGTGTGAGCTAAATATCCCTATTTATTGCATAATCTGCTTGAAAGGGTATATACCAGTGTGCAGAGGGTCCTTCAGAATTTCTCTGCCCAAGCTGATACTAAAACACGTTATGGGAAACCCGTGATCTGTACACATTTCCCAAACCATATTCAATTCGCACTGCCCTTGCGATCTGCAGCGGGTGTCAGTGCATTGTTAACAAACCCCAAAACACAGATTGCAAATACCACGAGTTTGACTGCACCAGGGCACATGCCACAAAACTACCATGCGATCCAGCTGCAGCATATTTCCAAAAGTAGTGCATGCGCTACTTTGGGGCAATGCAGTGTGACTTGAGCCCTTTCTAAAAGAATGCTCAAATCACACCGCACTGAATTGCATGGGAATTGCACAGGAATGCAGTGCTCATTCTTGTGTGATTCAAAGGAAATTCATAGTATGAAACAGGCTCATAGTGATTTCCAGCTTCTAGGGATCCCACAAGGATGGTACTGTATATGCATGTTACGTTGGTCCAAGTTGGCCCAAGGTAGCTATGTAAAAAATGCCATACCACAAATCCTTCTTTAAGGAAAGGGAGCCCTGTCTGCTGTAAGCATCTTTAAAGGGGAAGGCTTTAAAGGATAGTTTGTCCTCCCCTGAGCTGACTAATCTAATAAATTAAAAGGTCAAGATTGGTCAAGGTCAAGACTGCAATGTTCTATACATTTTGTAGCTTCTCAAGCCACCACTTCAGTTCTAGTTGGTATTGAAGACGGGGCTACGAAACAAATTCATCATTACTGAACAAGTCCAGCTGAATGCGACTAACTACTACTGGCTATACCATGACCTGGATAAAGGAGGACCTTCACAGACATCAAGGTCAAGAATGGAAGATTTAGAGACTTTAAAGTGGAGACCACCAGCCATCAAGTAAGTTCCGGCCTGCCCTCCTGATTTCAAATTTCATCACAGCTTTGTTGGCATTCTTTACCTTGCCAGCTGTAAATCATTCTGGCTTTAAGTCCTACAAGTGCATTGGTTTATTGGACGTCTGTCTGGAACTCATGGCAAAGATAGGTGTTTAGACAATGTTATAATGGTAAAGGGTAAGGACACTTTACTGGAGCCAGAGTTGTACTTTTATGTATACATTTGTTGCTTAACCTCTTCCCGCCCGGACCATGTACATAAACGGCTGGACGGGAGCAGTGCAGGAGCCGGTGGCCATTTATAAACGTCCTACTGCATTCCCTGCCTGTGTGAGCTGCACAACGATCGCTGTATGGAACCTCTGTGTGAAGTCCCGATCATGTGATCACTGATTGGCCAATCAGTGATCACATGAATGGTAGTAAGCGAGATGTCACGTCTGACATCATTGCTTACTACTAGTGAAATCTGTGAATGATCACAGAGATCACATGGTACAAGGCTACTCACAACAGCCTTGTACCATGTGACAAGCTGTGACCAATCACAGCTCTCATAGTATTTCTCAATGGCTGCAAGAATGCAGCCAGAGAGGAGAAATGATTGCTTTTACAGCCTTTATGGGTGTAAAAGCAATCAGTGTACATAAAAAAAATAAATTTAATCAGCCCCCACAAGTAGTACAGTGTCACTATGGTGACACTGTACTGCTAGGGTGACAGTATTCAAAGTGTGATAGCACTGAAAGCTGAAAATTGGACTGGACAGGAAAGGGGTAAAAGTGTCCGGACTTGAAGTGGTTAAAGTGGACCTTCACCCTAAATACTAAACATCATATTGTGCTGCCGTGTTCCTCCCCCCCTTACAAATGGCATTTTTTTTTTACACAACATTATTAAGTGTACAGGGAGGGTTAATGTCAGGGGTACGGGATTGGTTAGTATTAGGTGTACAAGGAGGGTAATGTTAGGGGTACGGGGTTGGTTAGTATTAGGTGTACAAGGAAGATTAATGTTAGGGGTATGGGGTTGGTTAGTATTAGGTGTACAAGGAGGATTAATGTTAGGGGTACGGGTTGGTTAGTATTAGGTGTACAAGGAAGATTAATGTTAGGGGTACGGGTTGGTTAGTATTAGGTATACAAGGAAGATTAATGTTAGGGGTAAGGGGTTGGTTATTATTAGGTGTACAAGAAGGGTTAATGTTAGGGGTACGGGTTG